CAGCCTTCCCCTTGCAGAGCCAAATCTCTTCCCTGCCCCGTTTCCTCAAACCTGACCTGAAGATGAGAAGACCAATTTGCATTTGTGCTGCAAAAAGAACAGACAAAAAAAAGCATTCTTTCTACAGATTTGTTCGGAGCAATCCACTTACTGTGAAAAAAAATTGGGGTTGTGGCCAGAAGATTGGGAAAATACTATAGTTCCCCTTTTCCCTCATCTTTATGTTGTGCAAAAATCCCCAAATGCAACTCTCAGACATTGCACTGAAAATGCAAGGCTCTCTGGTGAGGGGACCACCTCATGCAACCACAATGCTTTAGAGCAGATCCATGAGTATTAATTCACTGAAGAATCTTCAGATTGGAACCATATATGCACCTATGATCTCTGAGGAAACAGTGAGATAGAGAATGTGGCTTTCTGATAAACTGAAGATTGCTGGGCAGTTGCCCTTTCTATTCTCTTGTTACTACAAGCATCATGGCCAGTGAAGTTGCAGAACTTTTCAGAAGTGCCCGTGAGTTATTTTTGTGGCTTACAAAATAAAGCATCTCAACCTGCAAACCTATGCATGTTTAAGTCAACTGCATCCTATTTAGCTAATATACAACTCACCAGATGGTGTGAGAAGAAAATATGATACCTTTTAAAGATCTTCCCATCCTTTCAGGATTAGTCTTAAACTTGTCCCAAACCAGTTTTACCCCACTAGTTTTTAAATTTGCCCTTATAATTTATGAACATCTAAGCATTCCTTTTGGGAAATTAGAAACTCATGAAGCATATTTCTGACTCACTGGTTCTTTTATGGGAAGAGGGGTAATTGGTTTTTTAAGTTCTGCTACTTCCTAGCCATAACGACAAGAATGAACTTTCAGTTGTAGGAACCATTCAAACATCAGTTAAAGTGTTTCACCTTTGACAGATAAAAGCATGTTGGCCTGGATCTTGACATGTTGCAAGGAATTTGACTGAAATTTATCTGCGTTTTGTATCTTCCAAGAGTCTGGCTGTTCATATAAAAATGATCATGCTGATCCTTGAAGGAAAACAATCCAATGTCCCCAGTTCAACAATTCATTAAGAAAGTGCAAAAGAGAGAAGCAAGTTTTTCACTTTCTCCAGGAGTCCTCATCACACAAAATATTTCAAAAACTCTGAGGTGCTTGATGAACAAGTGGAAAACTTGCATTGTCTCTTGGGTGATTTTGGTTGAACTTAATAAGGATATTGCCCAATATCCTTATTAAATTCAGCCAAAGAAGTGGAAAACTTGCATTGTCTCTTGGGTGATTTTGGTTGAACTTAATAAGGATATTGCCCAATATCCTTATTAAATTCAGCCAAAGAAGTGGAAAACTTGCATTGTCTCTTGGGTGATTTTGGTTGAACTTAATAAGGATATTGCCCAATATCCTTATTAAATTCAGCCAAAGAAGTGGAAAACTTGCATTGTCTCTTGGGTGATTTTGGTTGAACTTAATAAGGATATTGCCCAATATCCTTATTAAATTCAGCCAAAGAAGTGGAAAACTTGCATTGTCTCTTGGGTGATTTTGGTTGAACTTAATAAGGATATTGCCCAATATCCTTATTAAATTCAGCCAAAGAAGTGGAAAACTTGCATTGTCTCTTGGGTGATTTTGGTTGAACTTAATAAGGATATTGCCCAACTCTGAATGCTGGATTTTGTGTGTGTGCCATTTTAACTAGTCCTAAAAAAGCTGTTGCTTATTATAATGTTAGATTACTCCTACAGGGTTGTAACCCTGTGAAGCAGTTACCTGGGGGTAATAACTCCCTCTAGGGAAAACCTTGGATCTGCTCCCTTCCTTGCTTGTGCATTGGCATCACAGCATCCTGGTGGTCCCAATCCTGCATTCCCCATGATCATATGAAGCTGGCTTGATCCCCTTTCTAGCCCCAAACTATCATACTGGAATTGGATGGAAAAAGAAGCAATTTTGTCCTGCTTAAGCCAGCACACCCCAAGCCACCCCAAGCTGACTTTGTTTTCCCTGAAGCTTCCCCAGCACCACCCACTCTTGCGGGAAAGTGTGATCATAAGCCCAACCCTGCAATAACCCGTCTTTTCCAGATTCCTGGGGAGAGATGCCTGTATCTTAGCAGAGGCCCAGGCAAGAGATTTCTGCCACTGCCTGATTTCACAATCAGCTGTTGTCAAATATTCGCCTGCCTGCCTGCCGGACAATGCATGGCATCGGAGAGAGGTGGCTTCTCTCTGTCCCAGCAAGCTTTCTCATGCCCAAGTTCCCCAGGAAGAAAAGCTCACTGCTGCAAAAAACAGCTGGTCAAATCCACCACTGGATCGTGTGTCCCAAGCCCAAGAGATTACTCCCAACTCATCCAGCATAGACAGGCAGCCTCAGCCCACTTCCTCACTGTGGTGCTATAAAACTCACTAGTTAGTGGGTCTGTAAGCTCAAAAACGTCAAGGTGGCAGTCACGACAGTGTGATCAAAACTCTGTTGCAATGCCCATAAGAAGTGGATGGAGCTTCAATCGCACCACCCCAGAAACATCTTGATGTTTCTGACCACACCCTGTGGCCACCCCTGTCTGGTTTCTCAAGCGCAGAGAATTAGCGTCTCTCCTTGGAGCCGGGTTGAAGGTGATGGGTAACAACCGCCCGGCAGAGTTCAAATGCCTTGTTCTGTTCCTTCCCTCTCACTTTCTCTAGCCACCCTAAGCAAGCTTAAAGCAAAACAAAAGCCACTAAGTAAAGCCTCTTGCTTTTCTGGGGCTGCCCCATCAGAGGGCTCAGAAATACCCCAAGGAAAGACCCGCGGCGGGCCTCCGCCCATGCAACTCCGCCGCCACGCATTTTATTTCAAAGTGTTGACTCCGAGCAATTGTGTACATTATATACAGATAGATCTATGGTCCCTCCTCCCTCTCCCCACAAAGGCAGAGTCTGTGCAAGAGCTGCGAGCATCTCCTCGTGCAAGTGGCCCAGAGAAATCTAGTCCAGCCCCACCGGCAACTTCTCTGGGCACGTCTGTGAGTGTCAAATACATCAGCTGTCGGAGTCCAAATCGCTTTTGCTTTCTTCTTGTTGCTTCTCTGGGGATGTCTTGGAAGTTTTATTCCATTTTTGAGCATTTTCTGACTCCTCTGAAGAAGATCTCTTTTGCCGCCGCCATTTTGCCCGGCGGTTCTTGAACCAAACCTGCATACAAGTACAGAAGGGAGGGGAGGAGAGCGTCACTGGCCGCGGGATTCACAGGTGGTATGGTGTCTTGGGAAGCAGATCTCAGGTCATTGGATGGACCCCCACCCCACCCCACCCCCAGAGAGTCAGTTCACAGCCACGTTCAATGGATATGTCCAGCGCTCAGGGAAATCTGCATGTCTGAATGACCAAACTTTGGGCTGAAAGGGGAGGCTCGTGGGACGAGCCCAACAACCCTAGCCTTTTCTGATTTGCACAGGCGCTGAGCGGGACACTTGGTCGGCGCTTTCCCGGGGCACTGGGACTCCAGCTCTCTTGGAAGTGGATCCCTTGCTACCTCTACTCAAGTGGGAAATGTTCATCACATGCAAAGTTGCTTATTTTGAAGCCAGCATTGCAGGGTTGGCTGCTGCAAGGCTGGAGATCGTGTTTTCTATAATGGATCCCGACCGTGATGCTACTGCTTCTCCTACAATAAAACACTAGGCTCTGCCCGCAAATCCAGTAGTATGGGAGGTCTATCTAGGAAGCCTCCTATCTGCAAGAACATCAGCTTGGCAAGGGGAGAGACCCTCACCCTAAAATCAAAGCAGCGGAGACGTCTGGGAAGTGAGGTATCACGCACTACTTAGAAACTGCAGCACAGGATGGATGTAACCATCCGGATCTGTTCTTTTGCCTGGCCAGGCCTGTCCTGAGCCAGAACTACCTTGGCTCTGAGCACATAGCCTTGCATGCTCTTGGGCACCAAGAAAAAGTTAAGGAGCTATTGTCCCTGAAAGCAAGTGGCTTCAGTTGATGCTTTCTCAAGATTTCTGGCTCCACAACAGAGTGGACTCGCAGGTAGTTTTCACACAACAAGCTAAACACAACTTATGAAAGCACATAAAGCACATGTCCACATAATGTAGCAATGCCCTGACAACAGAACCATCTAACGGCTGAAGATGATGGCCTGGTTCGCGCAATACGGCATTTGGTGGGTTCCCACAATCACGCTGAACTTCGAAGCATCTAACATTTGTATGTGTAGCCTAACAGGTTGCGCAAAGCAGAATTTAGACTCTCTTCAGCTTGGATGTTGGGTGGTGGAGATAGCTTGCCCTCATGTCTTCGGGAATAAGAACTCCCTAGGACTAAGACTAGGACCACTTACTGCTAAGTGACTTTCCACTCCTGAGAATTGGAGTCAATAACCTCCAAGAATTCTCGTGCCACTTCCCAAGGTGTGCTTATTTGGAGAGAACCTTCGGTGTATCCAGTGGAGTTTACTCTGAGCAGTCATTGGCTATATGATAGCAGGGTTGTCGCTGAGAGGAAAGTAAATACCTATCCAATTGAGTAGTCCAGGGAGGGAAGCTGAGATCCCAGGCGGTCAAAAACTGAAGCTGTAGAAATTGAAATCAGGACTAGCTAATGCAGCCGCTGAAGTCTAGTCCTGATTTCAATTTCTACAGCTTCAGTTGCCCTTGAACTTCAGGCATCGGGTATAAGGATAATGATAAGAGCAGCCGTGCAGTTCCCAATAAGAAGCAGCCCACCGCTATTCTTGGTGCTGCATTTTCTGCAACAACCACTGTCAGGCTCTGCACAAAAAGATCCTCAAAGTTTGCCAAAACTTTCCTCTCCCCACTTTAAAGCCAGTGGATTGCTTATTCTCCCCCTCCCTCCACTCCACCCTTGTGTCAAGCAGCCGCCGCTGCATCAAGTGCCACATCTCTAATTTCCTTCCTTCCTTCCTTCCTTCCTTCCTTCCTTCCTTCCTTCCTTCCTTCCTTCCTTCCTTCCTTCCTTCCTTCGCCCTTTGTTTAAGCCTAGAAGAAAGATCACATTACCTCCACTTTTTCCTCCCGTAAATGTACCCTTCTGGCCAGCTGTTCCCTGGTGCCCACATCGGGGTATTTGGTTTCCTGGAACAAGTTTTCCAGCGCCTCCAGTTGTTCGTCTGTGAAGATGGTGCGGTGTCTCCTTTTCCGCCGACAGTGGAGCTGGTTCAGAAGCTGCAGCTCAGTCCGGGACAAGGTGCCCACGTTCATGTAGGGCAGGATTTGATGCGGGACCGGAGACATTAGGACCGAGCCTGTCCCTTCGTAGCCTGAAGAAAAGACCAAACACAGCCTTTGAACTGGCCAAGTTTCCGGGTCATGTCATGTCATATCATCCCACCCCATCTCATAGGGATACGGAACAAGGTGGAGGATTGATGTATGACCGGTTTTGCAGGAGCCTTTCAGTTCCGGATTCATTGGGGGGGAATTGGGGGGGGGGGAGGATGCGGAATCGTCAGCTAACCATAAAGCTGAACCAGTGGAAAGGGCAAGGCAGGAATGCAAAAACCCTTGGCTTCAGTCCTGACCTCGCCGGGGTCTCGCATAACCCTCTCTTTCTCTCTTAGCCCTGGAGACTCCCAAGATTTCAGAGCATCTTAAGCCATCTCACCCTCCGCTCTTATACTGAAAATGCACCCCAAAGACTTCATTCCTCCCTCCCCTTTTGAATGACTTAACTAGGACGTTCACTAAAGGCATGGGGTGGTTATTGTCCTAAACATATCTTTTTAGTTATGTAGAGGAGAGGAAGTTGCATTTATTTAAGGGGCTGAGAATGTACATTTGAAGCCACTTCTGCTATGAAGTAATAAATCCCACTGAAGTCAGAACAGCAAGTCCAGGAGTGAAAAGTGTGATGTTGGAAAAGAACAATTATGTACATTCAAGTCACTACTTTCAAATAGGGGAATTACTATTACTAAATCGTGCGCTTTAGAGATTTCTGCAACGGAGCGAAAACTGTATTAAACGGCAACTTTTGGGACTTGGAGAAAGGGAAAAAGAGCTGATTCTGAGTACGTTTGTAGAAAAGACCCAACTGGCTTCAAGGGGTTGACAGCAGATCAGTGCAGAAATGAATCCTGGAGCATCTCAATTTAAAGTAATTTCCTCCCTAGGGATTTATACCGTCTTTCAATTTCATCGTGGTGATATAAAACATCATCATCATCATCATCACCACCACCACCACCATCTCAGCACAAGGATGAGTGGTTAACACTATAAATCACTAGTGAGAAAATAACTTAAATGAATATTTAGAACAAATCGGCTTCGTGCCTGTTTTCTCCCCCTCCCCATTTAACTCAGGCTGAATCTATTTGTATTTTGGTTGATTCTCAGTTCTGGGTCTGTCGCCCTGTTGTTGTTGTTGTTGTTGTTGTTGTTGTTGTTGTTGTTGTTGTTGTTGTTGTTGTTGTTGTTGTTGTTGTTGTTGTTGTTGTTGTTGTTGTTGTTGTTGTTGTTGTTGTTGTTGTTGTTGTTGTTGTTGTTGTTGTTGTTGTTGTTGTTGTTGTTGTTGTTGTTGTTTAATTGGGGGTAAGAAAGTGGGTTCTCAGTTTTGAATGTATTTATTTGGAAGTATATTCCATTTAATATGCTGTTTCAAAGAAACATTTGGTTAGGACAGGAAAGTTAAAATCGAATTAAGGAGCATGAGGGTGACTGCTTCAGAAAGGAGCAGCTCAGTCCTAACTAAATGTGTATTCTCTGTTTACTCAGAAGTCAGTCCTTATTTGAGTTAGATTTAGTGCCTGATAAATAGGCTTTGGGGCAGCAGTGACATTAGGAAGGCAATCTGAACGCTGGCAGAAATATTCCCAAGGAAACACGTGGGATGCCTTAATTCCAAGTACACGCGTTTGTCAGGAGTGTGGAAAAACAATCGTGTCAGCCAGGAAACGGCCCTTCGCCCCGATCCTCAAGGCAAAGTCATCTCGAGTACAGATCGCCCTGGATCCAGGATCCAACGTCACTTCCAGCCCGCGCGATGGAATCTACCGCCGAATTCCAGCGTGGCGTTGCATTCCGTCACACGCTGCCGCTGCTGCCGGGACCCAGGAAGAGGAGGCGGGGGCAACGTCCGGAGGCTCCGTCCGGAATGGCATCTGGGCTCCGCAGCACCCTTACCTCGCACACTCCTGCGCCCTTCAAACTTTCTCCAGTCTAAGAGAAGTTTTAAGAGGAGGCTCTCCCTTCCCACCCTCGGGCAAAGAAATTGCGCTTCCCTGTTGCGGAGAGAAATCCTTTCAGTCCCCGCTTCTCTCTGTTACTTTCCTAAGAAGTAGCAAGCGCGG